CATCGAAGGGGGTGGAACACTCAAAAACGTATGCCAGACAAAAGCGACTAGCTACCACGTTTTGACCAAAAAGTCATGTTTGGATGATATATTAAAAAGATTTTCCAAACTCCTGCAGTCTGCATCTGATATATTGAACGACATGTTATCTGCCACCTGCAGATTAAAGATGAAACACGAAGGAAAAGAAATTACCATCGGTTAATTTCAGTATAGCCAGTCATACGTCATAATAATATAAAATATATTATTATTTACAATGGGCGAGACATTTTAAAATATTGCAATGTTTTAGAAGTTATTTTTTTAATATCCTGCTATGCGTTTAGGGTACCTACCTATTGGTGAAATATTTGATAACCAATCCATTTCATCATTTTGACAGTAATATTGGTCAAAAAGTCAAAGAACATAATAATATTATAAGGTCTGACTAAAAAAATGCACTCATTTTTTTTATTGTCGGACAAAAATGTTCTTTTTGTCCCTGGACTTACAGCCGCATTTTTAAACTTGAGACTTGAGACTGTTCATTAAATCAACGGGTATGGATAATACATATTTAAAAGTGGATTGTTTTATTTTGATTTAAATTACAAATCAAGAGTCAAGTTCATAAATGTTAGAAGCTATTTCTAATATTATTAAAATTATTGATTTAATTTTTAAAAATTAATTTGTTTTCCTTGACATTTTATCCACAACTTGATATTTGTTAATTCATTGATACATATTCTAAAATCATAATATTCTATTTTACTCTTTGTCATTTTATATCGTATGATACTATCTCTCAAATATTGAAATATATCACTAGAAACTTACCAAAAACATTGCTTTTGTTATGTAGGAAATTCAGAAATCACTCTGTAAACGCATGACGTAGCTTAGGGATATAATACCACTGATGCAACTGCCGAGAGGACTGAGAGTGCGATCGAACATCACGCATCAGACAAAAAATATACGAAATTTGTTTTTTTTTTTATTTACAAAATATGTGGATATAAGTTAATGTAAAATGTGAATTATTATTCAAATAATCAAATATTCATACCCCAAAATACAATAGTTATTAGTTTGAAATATCTCCTAATATTTTAGGTTATATTTTAAGATAATTATACTTTATTTTAGTAAATTTAGTCAAAAAAAACTTTTTTACTGAAGTCAAAATTGGTGAAAATGCACTCCAATAAAAAATTAAATCGAGGTTGAAATTTTACTTTGGAAAAATTGGTTTATGAAAATCCATTTTTCTGGGTTATTGTAATTAGTTTTTTGCCCCCCTAGAATCATTCCCAAGTGCCGCCTATGCACCTACCTATATAATATAACATTAGGCGTTCGTACGCGATGAATAGTGTTGTGCAACAGCTCAACTGCTCAAGCATGGCAAAATAGATCAAAACGATCTGTTTTGTCATGTGTGAATGGCAATTGACGAAAAGTATAATAAGTAATAACTAAAATAAGAATACCGAATAATAAATAGGTATAATATTATTATGTATTATAACGCGATCGTTCACGGCGGACGACGGCCGACGCGGCACGTATGTGATTATGGTCGACAGTCGACACACGTGTACCAGAAATCGGAAACCCGTTTTCCGGGTGGGTACCTATTTTAAGAACACAGGGTCACTGTGGTGAAGTCATGTTCATATTCGTGTCAATATATAATACGAATCCGACGAGGTACAAGGTCGCGAGGGCGTATCTATATAAAAATGTGCACATACGTATATATCCAAACATAATATCTGCACCGTCCGGGTGTGACCTGCACCTTACCCTTCGCAACATAGAATATTATTTGGTGCGAAAACGTATATGTGTAGTATAACCTAAAGCAGCGGGTAAAACTTTATGAATAAAAAATAATAATAACCAAATTATAGGTAGTCTTATTATATACAATAATACGACAGTAAACTGCAGTACACCGAATGTGCGATTTCGCAAACCAGACCCGAAATATCGTGGTACCGGCGTACCGCCTATCTGTGTCAGTGAACCTTACTTATTATACGTACAGCCGCGGCCGCCGAGATATTATTTTAAACACGCGATTCAGCAATTTATCGTATGTTTCGTACCGAGAGGATCTCATAGCACACGCGTTTCGTGTGTACCCCATCAAATATGATTACAATTTATTTAACGAAGCGATTTGTCATTAATCATTTTAACAGTGGACGGACAGCCACGTCTACTGCACAGCGAATAGCATAATAGATTAATGCAGTACGATCTGTGGCCACGTCCTTACAGTGAAATACAACAATAATAAATACTAATACGTATTATACAGGACCGTGACTTGTATTACGACGAATCACCCGACTTGTACAAGCGAGATGGCCGATGGGTACGTGTATTGGCAGCGTACAATAATATTATGATGCCTGGAAGGACGCACGGGCTAAATACAAGACTTTGAAGACACGTGGCCATTAAATAAGGATAGAGTTGCATTACGTATGCGGTCTCACCACTGTCCGCAAACACCTATACCGACTATTCGGTAGACTTCACTATACCATATAGGACCTTTAGTCAACCATTTTTATAAATACAACACTTCTACATTTTATTTTTTGCAAATTTTTGTTCTCTTTTCCGACATTACAAACAACGTTTTGAAGCCCTACAATATATACACATTGTTTAAAAATATTATCTAAAATCGATTTAGGCGATTTAGGTACATTTATGACAAATATATGGGTAGTATAATTGAGGCACGGAGCGCTTCGGCCCATGAAAAAAATCAAAGGGCGTGCCTAGGCACGCCCTGTGAGCACGCCTATGTCTTACCTATTACCTATGTATTGCATTATTGCTATATTTGGACTTGGGTCGTTGCTGAGTGTTCTATACAGTGCTCAAACTTACTCAGCTATAGGCTCTATAAATCAGAATCTAGTTGTCTTCGACAACAAATTTCGTCTGTACGGAGTAAATTCATTATACAATTTTTTGGTCTCGGATTTTACAAAAAATTGTTACTTTTATTAATTTCTCGAAATAAATTCTGAAAGTAGGAAAATAATGACAAGCTTGAAAACCAATTCAATTCTAATTCATTGTTCCTCGGTCAAGTCGAGCGTAATTTATAATTCATTTTTTTACCATGTAAAAACTACAATCTGGCCTATTATAATTTACGAATGGAATTCAGTTACAAATATAATTATGACGTAAACGTCCGTTCACCTCTAAACCGAGTAGTCTGGATAGTGGATACCGTCATACTGGTTAGATATAACGACTTATGCGTCTTATCAACCATGGCTTATGGCTAAATACTTGGCTAGTAAGTTGGACTTAACCGTCTAAGGGATCCGAGTAGGTACGTCAAGGACGTCTGCATACCTGATGCCGAGTGCCATGTCTCCGCGGATTATTCTGCGCGTAACAGTGTTTGTATCATTGTATGATATAAATATTTAACAATACCTACCACATTATCACGATTATATAATATTGAGAATTCCCGACTTTTTTGAACAAACCATATAACAATAATATTATGTTGTTTAACCGTTTGAAACGACCTTCCTTCAGTCTTCTCAACCTTGCATTTTCTGTCATTCAGGTTGCTGCACTACAAACAATATGATGTATTGTACTCCAATCTGCCATCTTGACTTGGTGCTAGAAACTAACAAGTGCCAACACGGCCACATTGCCACATCAATACATTATCTACAGAGCAATAATCATTGGCCATTACCCATACCTATGGGCGACGATGCAATTGTTAATAAACCATTATATTAATGATTACTCTGATGATATGGTTAACATAATATTACTTCTGAGCCAATATAAACAATTATTAAAAAAATGAAAGCAACTCAAATATATTATAAATAATTTCAATTTTTATTATACATATATTTATATGTTTGAACTCACGCAGAGTATAAAACTATAAAAAACTGTAGTATAAGGTTCGAAACTTCTAAAAAATAGGTAGAGACGTAGAGTTCAAGTTTTATACGCGTTCCTGTACGATTAAGACAATTCTGGAACACTAGCGTGGTGAGCTGTTGCACTATGTATGCATTATGCACCGAGTATTGAGTAATGTACATTTCGACTCGCTTGGCGTGTAGGTACCTACAAAATAAAAATTGGCCTCAAAAATAAAATATCAATTGAAAATAATATAATATTTTAAAATATTGTCGTGTGGCATTGCTCAACAAAACGAATTCTGAACGATGCGGTTCGTGTGTTGTGCTGCAAGCGCGCACGAAGTGTGGGGGGATGAGAAAAGGTCGCACGTGTTTACCCGCACACAATATCGTGTGTGTTGTAAATTATAATATATTCTAATATTATTGTTATTAATACATTTATATGCGCTCCGTCGTCGTGTTTAATATTATTACGTAGTTCCGCCGAACACCTGCAGGGGTTCGCAACGCCGGACATGCCATCACGGTCCATACTCAATGTACCGCGGGCGTGGTAGTGGCGGGGCGGCAACGCGCGTTTTCCGACCACTGGCAACGATGGTATTCTTTTATCTACATTATACGACCACTCTCTGCAGCAGCAGCTGCCCGTTCACCGGTCCTCGGAACAACCCGAACGCTGGTGCCTACAATTGCCTACTAAGCGGTAAGCGGCGAACACTGGGAAAAAAATCGTCGTCGCGGCGGTTCTGGCGGTACCGACCGCAGCTGCCGCTGCTGCTGCTGCTGCTTGAGCCGCGCCGTAGAGTCCCGGCGTCGGATAGAGTGAGCGACCGTACCCCCGAGTGGGTGCGTGTGGGTGTGCGACGGAGAGAGAGCGACGTGTGCGCGCGCGTGCAGCGTGTGCATTATACGTCGCACTACCGAGCGGTGGGTGGGGAGTGGGCGGGGAATAGAGTATAAAAATACGAGAGAGAGAGAAAAGAAAAAACACCACACACACAAGTACGCAACCCACCTCTCCCCGTTCATTGATTAAGATTGACATTCCGATTCCGTTGAACGTCAAAATACTTGTGCGAACCATCGCCGCCGCCGTCGTCCGTCATCGAATTCGTTCGTTTGTTTGTTTGTTTGTTTGTTCGTTCGTTGTTTCATACGTTCGTCGAGTCCGCAACACCCGCGCTCCATTGTTTTTATCGTTGGACGTTGTCGCATGCACCCGCATATCGGCAGCACGACACCACCCCGTACGCGCGCACAGTGCAGTGCACACACGGTGCGGCCAAACACCAGTCGCGTCCATGACAATATCAACGCCGTCCGCGCGCACCAACAACGCCGCTGCTTCGTCTCCGTCTCCGTCTCCGTCGTTGCTGTAGCCGTCGTTTCCCGTCGTACAGTAGGGAAACCGTTCTCGGCCACATACGCCCGCCGTCTCCGTCGTCGTCCAGCACAGAGCCGTCGCCACTGAACCACCGCCGCCACTGATTACCGTCGACTCAGCCGCCGCCATGGGACCGAAAATCGTTTGCCTGGCGGTCGTCTGCATTTTTCTTGTGCACAACGTAAGTAGAAATACGACGCTCGGCCTGTCTGCGGATAGTGTCAGTGGGCAGTGGTGGCAGTCTTCTATCGACGGGGTAGATTTTGATATCGGGAGGTTGTCGTCTCCGTTGCCTCCATTCGATGAGTGCCGTCTAGGATCGTGACATCTGTCTGATGTACAGTCCATGACTATTAACACCTGCCCAACCGAAATGGTTTGTCGTTGAATCGTGTAGGTCTCGATCTATAGGTATAAGATAATTCATACCTGATGCGACCGATTTGTTGTTCAAAGTATGCCTTAAGGCATCATATTCTTTAAAATTATGTAGTTGGATTTCAGTATGGGTAGGTATAATTTAGAATTATGTTTGGTGTGTTTCCTATAGTTGCCAAAGGTCAATGATCGAACAATAATCGAGTAAGTAATTGATGTCTGGTTCATTAAGTGCCCACTCATATGTCTGCAGCAGACATTCTTAATATTTTTTCAATTAATATTGATGTACCTACTATGCTTCTTATTATTGTCATTACCTGATAACCATCTGCTTGACCTTTTATCCTCGTAAAAAGTAACATTCTTCCTACTTGTAGATTACATTTTTTTATATACTTAATCATCATTAATTTCAACTAAGCAGATGGCTACCTGTGATTTGTTGTTATAGTTAAAATATATTGATTCATCATATTATTTATATATTTTCAATATTCTATCTTTGATTCATCAACATATATATACTCTTAAGTAGGTGTTCATATTTAGGCATTTATTTGTTTTCTGAACAACATTTGTTATTGATAATGGAAGCCTATGGCATAAAGGTCCCCACACACTGCAGCGGTAGCGGTGGCGGTGGCTGTAAAATGAGTCCGGACACAATTTACTGCCACCGCCAAGACAAAAGAATTTTACCGCTGCAGTATGTGGGGACCTTGAGTCTTGCTGAATTTAAAAAATGCTTTGAGTTTGGTAGGTAAATCTTTTTTTTTCAAACTTTTGCATATGTACCTACATGGAATGTACCTTTATCTAAAGTAGGTGAGCTATTAGTTTGTATTACCTACACATTTTTCTGAAACTTGATAAAATAATCAAACAAGCTTATGATTGGTGTTGTAATTTATTGTTATAGTTAAGTAGGTAGACTACCACAAAGAGAATTGTGTGTCTTAAAGGCTTAACTGGTTAAATTATCTAATGGAATATGTATTCATAAAATAAAATCTGTCTTGAATTCTTGATAGGTGCCTCTACTGCATTGTACATTTTTGTACATTCTTTGTTATCAATGTTAGTATTTATTTAAAATAATAAATTGTTGACCATTAGTTTCATAAATGATTTGATCTCAAATTCTTGTTTTTTTTCCAATAATAGACAGATACCTATCATAGTGGTTGAAAATTTCGTTACACAGTTGGCTTAATAATAGCTTCAAAACAAATTATCCACGTTGAAAACAATAAACTGCAAATGTCATTGTTTTTGTATTTGTTTATCAAGAATATTATAAATATTTAATTATCTTTACATACCTACATTATACTATAGGTATTGAAGTTACTTTATATTTCCATTTATTAACTCAGTATTATTTTGAAAAATCATGTTCAAACCAAAATGTTATAAACTATGTTTTAAAAAAACATCTTAACTGTTTAGTTAACACATTATTTATTAATGCCAAATTCGTATTATTAAGTAGGTACAATATCCTATTTCAAATTCCAAACTTTCAGAAAAATTATTTTTAAATATATAACCTTTAACTCGCCCGTTCTCTAGTTGTTCCAATATTTTAACAAAAGTATTATCAATTTACAGGTTGATACATTATACTTAATTGGTTTTGTTGAATTTCTATGAATTTAGTTCAACAGGAATTTAATTCTTCTCATGAAAAGGGGGCTGAAATTCAGTCTGAATTATACCCTTCTACATTTTTCTAACTGACGCGGGGCTGTAAAGAAGCTACCTAACCATACATAATTGATTACTACCTAACTTATATTTGTAGGTATCTGATAGTTCTTATAGGATTTTTAAAATATTAATTTTAATGGATTATTATAAGTCAATCGATAGGTATGAAATTTGGGTGAATTTTGATTTTAGTAGGTAACTAATATAATATTTTTTAACTAGCTTATTTAAAAATGTTATTTAAAGTAGTGATTTTTTATAAACTCAATAGGTCAAATTTATCTTCCCACCCCTTGACTTCCATTTTTATAGTTTGATATTAGTGATAGAACTATTATATATATTACTATGACTTTATGTGATGTATGTCATATGCAGTAATAATAACTATATATATACTGTTAGCTCATTACTTATTGTTATGCCATAAAAAAAAATAAAAAATCCATTCATAAAGTTTACAAAATTCTACAAGTTGTATAAACCTAAATACATATTACAACTTTAAAATGTACCTATGTTATAACAAGAAACACATACAGAATAATTTGTGCTGTTGTGAAATGTATAGAATATATTTACTTTGAATGCATAAATTCACCTATGTATATCTTTTAGTATTAACTTAAACCTTGACTTAAATGAATATTATTAGATTACCTATAAAATACCTCTTATGTTATTGTGAATATTACAATATAGATGTTTATTATATTCATGATGTGTTAAATAACTAAAGTTATGTTCTTATTTATAAAAGTAAAAAGTCACTGAAAATAGACACACACTGTAGTTTTTTTTGTCTAATTACATTAATACATTTAAATAATACCTATAAAATGCCATAAAGATAACGATCATGATAAATGTTGATTTTGCTATACTTTTATTCGTTTATATTTAACCTTGGTGGTATGCAATAGTAATATCAAATGATAAAAGTCGCTTGGTGTGGAGATAAATATTGTAAGCAATCGATTTTGACCGGTGGCGGGGTCATAAGGCTCATGCCCCATGTACCATATTTATTTTCAAAATGTGTGATGAGTAATCAATAAGTACTAAACAAAACCATGTTATTATTTTTATAGGTGCTTGCACAATCTAACAAAAATGTTTCATCTACTAAACCATTAAAACCATATAAGGAAGAATTATTTATTGATGATGAATCTGAAAATGCGGATGATGGTGACACCGATAAATTAGGTGCTGATGATATGATGCTAGGCGAAGAAGGTAGTGGTATGGGTCCCCCATCAAAAGGAACAGGGGCTGAAGATATGGAATCTAGTGGTTCTGGCTATGGACCCGATGATGAGGATGCACAAGTTGGTGGTAAAAGCAAAGGTAAAGCAGGTGTTGATTCTGAAGAAGATGAAGACGATATGGATGATGGTGATGATGAAGATGAAGATGACACTGAAGATTTTGATACAGAAAAGCCACAAAAGGTGTTTAATCCTGTAACTACTACATCAACTACGACTACAACAGTTAAGAGTCTCGATGAAGAATCTAATTTCCCCGAAGAGGTACGTTTAATTTATATATATTTCTATTTAATTTATCTTTTATCCTCATAGACCTGAACTTTTTTTGTTCTTGTTCAATCTTTTCATAGACATCCTAGGTCTATTATCTGTTAACATACAATAAGTATTTATTTTATAAAAGTTAGTCTCAGCATTCAGCTCACAAAATCTTGGTAGATGGTGTTGTTTTGTTTGTTGGGTAGAAACAATTTCCATTTCCCCGGTCAGTGTAATTTTTTTTCAGTCTGTTACTAGGTGATATTAAATTAATTTTAAATTGCTCCTTACATGTTTATTAAAATAGTTTAAGTATTGGCGTATATTGATGTATACATTATTTTATTAGGTTAATTTTTATCTCTAAACTAATTAATCATGCTAGGTTGAAATAAACATATACTTAATTTAATCACCATTGACATTAAATGAACCAATTATGGGTTACTAATTGATATGGGAGGGACTGTTAAATATTTAAAAATTAATGTAACTCATAGATATTAGTGAAAATTTGTATTTTAATTAACAATAAATTAAAAAAAATTTTAGTTCTCAAAATTACTGATGATCTATAATATTATCTATACAACCTTTATTTACATGTGTTATGAACTAAATTGTATATGATGCCTCTGCCTAATGCCCCTCTTATATGAATTATTTATAACCCATTCGAGGAACTATTTTACTTCTATGATAAATCAACTTCTCTGTTCATCTACCAAAATGGGTCACAGTAAGATTGAATCACATTAGTTTGGCATTTTGTAATTGTATTTGTAGTGTTAGAAATAACTTTAAAGTAATTTAATTAATGTATGTTAAAATTATATTTTATTTGTAAGATTTATAATATTAGACTTTGTGTACCTACTTCAATTTAATTATAATTACTTAATTACTATAATATGCACTAACAATAAATAATGAATTGCAAATTATCATTCAATTTATTCCAGTAATTTAATTTTAACATTCATAAACCATTCTAGTTCACAACATTAATGTATGCACTATACACATAATATATTAATCTAACAAAAATACTATTAAAATGATAACTTAATCCTTTTTATATAATATATTCAACGCTAGGTTGTGAAACATTAAGATAATGTTGTACATAAACTTCATAAACTCACATTTATAAATTTAACAATCTATTTATTTAGTTTGTAGACTATTGTTTGATTAGGATATAGTGTGCAAGTTTGTCATCTAGATGACATTTGTCTGATGGAGACTAGAAATGTATAGAATAAATTGTTAAGCTATTATTCGTCTACACATATAGCACATAAAAAAAATTCTACAATATATTAATGTTCTTATAATTCATTATAAGTTAACTATTAAATCATTTCACAATCATTGAATCAAATTAGTACAACAATTTAATTGGAAGCAGTTATATTTTGTTTAAAATTTTTAAAGCCATTTATGATTTAGTGGTTTAATTTAATACCTAGTAAATATCCCAATATTGTGTTCTATGAAAATGAATTATATTTGTTTGTTATTGTTATAACCAATGTTATAACTTAATGTTGTATGTAGCATTTTTAGTTGATATCAATTTCCAGGAAGTTTGATTACCACATATGTAGGTTTTTTTTTTACCTTCACACACAATGCTTACCTCTATAAATCCATTGCTCATTGGAAACTTTTAATATTAATATGTTGCATGTTAGACTCACCTGATGAATTGCATATTTCTACTAATTTTGCATCGCTAATCTGAAATTTTTTTTTTGAGGGCAGCAGAATAGTATAACTATGTTTGCTAGTTATACTATATTTCAACCTACACTGCAATTTGTTTTTCTTTATATCTTTGCACTTCTTATAAGTGGTGTATCAAAACAATTTGAATAATTTACATTTAAAATACCTTTGAAAACAGCTTTAATTCTTTTGAAACATGATGGGTACGAGATAAATAAAGTAGAAATAGTTATAAATTATGATGGATTATTGTAAACCTTTTATAATAATAAGTATCGTATTTGTAGTCATTAGTCATAAAAAATAACTGTATTCACTGTGTAAAATTATAATTTATTTCCATATATTTTTTTTAATAGACATTGAGGGTTGATGACTCATTTAATTCCATATGTAGTCTACATATTAACTTTGCTTTTAATGATAATGAACATTTTATTGATATTATCAAATACGCATATTAACATGCTCTAATAATACGTTAGATAGATACAGAAATATGCGTTTATTAACACACAAATTATATGAGGTACAAATAGTGTATTATGAACTTTATGGTCTGTAAGATTCAATATTCCTTTCCATCTTTACTGCACTACCTATTTCACATTTTTTAAACTGATATTTTATAAACATATCTAATTATTTTTCATTTTTAAGACCAAAATAGGTTCAAACTGTAATTTTGGGTTTGTGCACTGTTTATATTATATTTGAAAGATTTATAGAAATAAAACAATTAAGAAAACTTTAATACTTGATTTATATTTATACTTTTATTTTAGCCCAAACAAAACATTGATGATGTCAATTTGGCACCCAGTGTACCTAGTGCACCTGAAGTACCTCAGACTACATCTACGTCTACTCTTCCTCCACCTCCTTCCAATGCTATTGATGAACATTCTAGCAGTAACGGAGTGTATATAAGTCCAAACAGCCACCCTGAGCGAACATCTTCATTTTTCGCACAACCTGGCATACTTGCAGGTAATAATAAGAAAAAACAATATTTACTGTTTATGAATCATAAAACATCTCTTAATTATTGTAACCATCTAACAATATATATGTATGTTTCAGCTGTTATTGGTGGTGCTGTTGTGGGATTGTTATGCGCAATTCTAGTGGTTATGTTCATTGTATACAGGATGCGTAAAAAGGACGAGGGTTCTTATCCCTTAGAAGAAACTAAACGTTCACCAGCCACAAATCCATACCTAAAATCTTCACATCGCGAATTTTATGCATGAGTACATTCGTAAATTGGTTTTTACTTGAGCCTATGAACATAGTATACGTTATAATAATAATATTGTTTTTATCACCTCCTTCCCCGTAAGACCATTTAACTATTCCAAAGGCAGCTATATGACTTCTAGTCACAAATACATTTATATATACTATATATAAATGATAAATAGAGTTTCATTATAAATTATCGATCTTTTAAAACACAAAAATATTATTTTATCTACCATTACTCTCCTTAAGAAATTGTACAAAATTTTTTTTATTTTCTTATATTTTGAATTAGTCAGATTATTGTCACCTATAGTGCAACTAAGTTAAGATGACCAATCATGCAGAAAAGAGGAGCTTATTTTAAACCCTGCCGACACGACAGTCAAAATATGGTCTATCAGTTGATGCTTCATGTTGTTGGGCCTGACCGAAACAAACATGACCAGGCAACTGACATGTTATGCCTCCTGGTCATCTTAACTTGGTTGCACTATACCTAATTGTCTTCCGTAATCCCCTTTTAATGTTAAATATATATAAAATGTTAATATTAATTGGCTGGATCTATACCAAACTGGTGACTATTGAATCATATCATTGTCATATTGGTTTTATGGATAACCTCAGAGGCAGGCTTCCGTTTTTAATTTTTATAGATTCTCACATACAGAGAACAAGACTAATATTAAGATCATAAAATGCCAATTGATTTCAAAACATAAAACCAGTTTGGTCTGGCCTGCTTTATATTATTAATTAAAATGTACTGATAATTGCAAATCAATTTAAATTAAATTATACTATTATTTGTTGAAATTAATTTTTGTTAAGTATAAATATTAGGCAGTATTAAGTGGAATTATGATGGTTCATTAAACTTAAGACCAATCTTAAGAAGAATAAATTGAAGATAATAAAGAATGTGTAGTCTTTAATTTAAAGACTTAAACAATGTAGAACCTTAGCCAACTTAAATATGTGCCATCTTTTCGTTGGGCCTCCCTTCTGTTCATATATTTTGAAGTGTTTTCCAATTTTAACACTTTGTACATAATATTTAGGCATAACAAATTATTATTATTTTTATTATTATTAGTTATTATTTATAGTTTTCCAATATTTTTTATTTTATAATAATTATATTTATTTAGTCTAGCATGGAACTAATTAATAGCGAATATACTTTTCACTATTGCGTTTTTTATACATACGTAATTGTACGTACTGGTATAACAAAATAAACTTATGCTGCCTAGAGATAATAAAAAAAAGATAGCTAAACATCTTCTTTTAACTCGGTAAATTAATATATATAACTATCGTTTATTATTGAAAGATATTAAGTATATTACTGTGAATTTTTTATTTATTTAACCTACTCATAACAATTTTATTATTTATATATTTGATTAAGTTTTATAACATCATTTGTTTTAAGTATTGAACGTTTCAAAAATGTTCAACATCATCAAGCTCTGTAAAAGAGTATTATTTTTACTTGTTTATACCATTTTATGTAAACATAATATACACAATATATTATACTCAATGATTATTCATAAGAAGTTTTTATTTTATTTTTTTTATGTTTACATTTTTACTCACGAGAATTGGGTCCTTGTAAATCAAAATTTTATTTTAAAATGTATATACCCCCACTCCATTCACCAAGAAAAAAAAATACTCTTAATTTCCTTATTCACATCTGACAAAAATGTTATACATATTATAATTTTTTTTTTTGCCATTCTTAGCTCTTTTAAAAATAATTCCAGTAGTATGTATGAACCCGTTGTTTATGATAAATATGCTAAATTAGCTAGTATGATCTACTCTCGGTAATTTAAATCTATAAAAATTCAAATTATTGTTATCTAATAAAGCAATAATATAATTTTTGGCTCGACACTATTCAACATGCCCATAATGCTTAAATTTTTTGTTTATTTGGAAATCTTTCAAATAGATATAATTTAAATCTTAAGTTTCCTAGGGTCGATTATACACCTAAAATCCTTAAAATATGGCAATAAACAAAACCACTACATTTGTTAACTTGATAGTATGCAAAAAATGTACCAGTATTATTATTTTTTTCAATTGTAACAATAGTTTGACCTTACATTTCATCTTGTTAAATTGTATAACTTTTGTTGTTAAAGACATTCTAATTGTCCATTGAAATTTTTCAGTATTACCTAGTTATAGTTATAAATAATATTTTTTAACCGTTTCTTTTTTGTATTATTTTTATTGAGCTTTCCTCTCTCTTCATATACAAACTATAAATAAAATGAACAGTTAATTTTTGTATTTTATCGTCATACATGTGAAATGATTTGTTAGTATAATATGTCGATTATATGTTCTGCACCACCTGTGCCCAAACCATTATTTCATGATTTTTCAACTTCCTAAAACAGAAATAATGTTAAACCATTCAGAATTAATCAGATTTAAAAGATATACCTTTGAATAATTTCTATTATACAAGATTGTGTTTTCAGCCAATATAGGTTTATAATATTATAAGGCAATCTGAACTACCAGACTGTCCGGAATTGTTCCAAGAAAAATAAACAATTATAAAATAAAGCACTTTTATTTTGGTTTAGTGTACTTCAGTGACAAGTAAGTATAGCAATGTGGACCAATGGCTGGTAGATTGGGTTTATTTAAATGTACAATGCTCAGTGTATTTCGGCGTAAGTACAAACACTTCATGAGCTAACAGTTAGGGTGTACCTATTTCCGTCCTCCACACTAGAAAATGCAGAATTTAAAATATGTACTTGTTAGTTTTTAATTTTATGATTTATGGCATAATATGTATTCAACAAAAAAATTTTAAAAAGTTAGTTCAGCGCATTGGACATGGTTAATACTACTCTCAATGAATAATCTGACATATTCGTAAAATCGGTGGTTTTTGAATCTACAATCCACTATCATCACACATATGCATTGGCTGGTGTATAGATAGATTGTTTTGTACAAGAAAATGTACAAGGTCGAACAGTTGAGTATAACAGTTTTTTGGTATACCTGTACGACGGAATCGTAGGTGAATAAAATATCACAGAATAACTAGGTTCAAAACTCAAAGCCCAAGCTTATAATCTTTGATTAAAAAATGATACGGTTGAAGCCCCCCTCCCATTGAACTTCCCCATTTGCGCCCTGTGAGTGTACATTAACCGAAGCGTCGAGGACGCATTGGCTAATCCTGCGTAAATGCGATCTACCGATCGAGGAACAAAATCTGTAAAGGTTATATCCTTTTTAGTTCTTGGTCGATGAAAACTTAAAGGTCCGTCCGACCTATACCATGACACTGGCATGGTTGCATTTAGCATTACCGGCGGGTTGCTCGCGCTATGTGAACTGCCTTTGCGTTGCAGACAAAGCTGAGCATATTGCGTACATACTCTGATTCGCTGTCTGCGGAACTGGACGGTTCTGAGAGACGACCTTCGCAATTCGCACACGCCTTCGTCAATCTCCGGTTACGGCGGACAATGGACATGCCTGACATAAGGTCCTATGGTCCGGTTTTCGAAGGAAGTTCAGGACACCTATTTTACAAAATACCTATTGGAGGATATCTTGACGTTCAAGTAAAAATGGTCGGACAAGCAGTAAACTGGTCATGATTGTCATTACTCTCCACCACACTTGCAGTGTGCAGAGGGTCTAGTGGTCACGTTCGACCTTTTACCCAACCCGATTAAGCACGGTTGCAATCAAACAATAGGAACCCCAAAAACGGCTGCATACTGTTACTTGTGTCCTCAAAACGGTTGATAGTTTGATACCGAGTTGCGGTCAAGATTATAACAGGTAAAAAAAAAAATCTGAGTTGCGGTTGTGATAAAAACAGGTAAATGATCAAAATAGGTAAAAATCCTAGTTGCGGTAAAAAAATATGATTAATAATTATTAGGTTTTAAAATATTTATATATTTACATTTGTAATATTAAACCGGTTCATATTTGTATGATACACATTTCACAAATGTCAGCGAGTCAATTTGTTTTTTCAAATACTGTTGTATTTTATTTTTAGTAAATTTATGATTTATGCTCTCGCTTTTTTTATTAGTTTCCAAATATACTGAATTGATTTTTGAATATGTATCAATCTGAATATTTTTGACACATTTCAAAATTATTTTATTTTGATTATTATTTTAAAGATTTCATAATAGGCTTGCAACACATTCAAATCCGTTAGTCAAAACACTCTCATCAAATGTTATTCCGGGAAATCCTCCTAGGCGTTTAAAACGCAACCGGTGCCGTGATATGCTGATTTAATATCATAATTAAAAAAAAAAAATATATATATATAGATGATAGATGTTTCTATGAGAAAACTTAATGTATAATCTCAATTTATAAGTGTCATCACTGGGTGGCTGCTTTTATCATGTTATTCATGTTATTTTGTTTTTTTATATTTTAGCTAATACTCTTGTTGGACTCACGAGGTACAGATTGTGTATTTAATAATAAAGGAAAAAAAAAAAAAATTTCAAAAATTCAAATATGTTGGGATGTGGCGATTGGTTCTCAGTTTTGAACTTTGAATTGAACGCTTCACTTCCATTATTCGTTCTCCAAACATCATTGTTCAAAGCTGCCCAGAGTGTGGTTGGAAAAGTAGCATCATTATTCATTGCCAATATAATTATCGACTAAATAGTCACTAAATTCAGTAACTCTTGAATCTATAGGTTGTTCGGCGATTAAATCTAAAAACACATTTCCCACTTCATCTGGAGGGAGAAAAGTCAATCCAAAAACGTAGTGTAACCATTAATCGTTAACCGGATACTGACAGCAATTAAGACGTTAATTTTACCTTCAATATTATTAAGACCGCAATTCGTCTATTGCGACCGCAACTCGGACAATACCCTCAAAACAGGTAATTTTTACAGGAAATAAATTCAGCAGGTGACTTGCGTCCCGTTGTGGGGACTCAACTCAACCATATTATTATTATTACCTGCCATTAAAGTCGTGACCGAGTTACGTCTATAAATATTATGCCTTGCAATCATATTGTTCATATTATGAAGTAGAAAAGTATGTGTAAATTGTCTGCGACTATAACAAAGAAATATTATCAGCATTTACACTCTTACAATTTTTTTTTCTATTAGCTTGGACACAACTATTACAGCTCGACGAAAGTGTTTAATATTAAATACAAAATAGTGAAATTCAAATAAACAGAAAAAGTTATCGGTGAATATTACATAGTTGGTAATAATATGGGTGTAAGGAGTGAAACGAGGGGATTAATTAGTGAAGAAAGTTCATAAATACATTTTTGAAAAAATAGTGATCGCTAGTGGAATTATTCGATAGCGAAGTATTATTTGGATTAGCGACGGAAGCGGAGAAGGCTCTGAGAGGGTGAGGTGATGGTTTGAGAATATTACATGTACAGTGTTCGGATTTCATCGAATTGAAAAAGTAAATTTGCGATGTTTAAGTAGTGCTTTATATTTTGGACATCTTTTGTAGTTTGAGGTGTGGTCACCCGCGCAAAGGGCGCACATGGCTGAGCTGCTTCTTTCTTTGGTGCAAATGTCTGAGGAGTGACCTCCCCCACATTTTACACAACGGGAGGGATGGTGGCAGTATTTAGCGATATGTCCGTAGGTCCGACAGTTTTTACGCCGAGGTTGACCACTATTGTTGGTCCTTTGTGGTAATTTAACTTGACTTTTAGTGTGCAATATTGATGAGTGATGAAAGACTTAATACTTCTTTGTTATTAGTAATGGGTTTGAGGTCCACGAAAAAGAGCGGAAACGGCCGTTTTTAGTGACATTTACGAGGAGTGACCTAGTTCATCGAGAGCATCAGATATGTTTGAGGTGAGGGTCGAGTGGTGCAGATTTCTTATGACGATTTTGAAAGGCCAATATATTGATGGCATGAAAGTGTGGAAACACGCATCGGTTTCCATTAGGTGCTGTGCGATCATATTAAAATATTCATGTCCTTGAGGGTGGTCAATCAAATAAGAAGATGGTGATTTATACATGTGAACACATTTTGGCCAGTAAGTTGGATTAATGTGTTTTTAGAGGCGGAGAAGTTCTTAATGTCTTGGACATAAAATGGCGGAGCCCTGAAATTGTCATGTTGAGTGGGGATAATGGATTCGTCGATTGCGGCAGGAGCATCGCCCCTGACGTCGAGTTCAATTGCCTTGTCCTCGTCGGATGCCAGAACGAAGAATCGGTTAGGTGAAACAAACTGTTTGTAAGTATTGTAATGTATGCTATGCCTAAGCTTCATTTTTGTAAGGAAGCAACGTGGCTGCCCATTGCCCAATAAAGTAGGCCGGGACGGAAATAGGTTATGTCCCTTTTCGAACCTTTTTTGTGGGACGCAACTTACCTACTGATAATTATTTCAGACGTAAGTAGTATGCACAGCAAAAAACAACACTGTTGAGCACGAAAATAGGAGCGACGTTGAAACTTGGTACCATAGAATAGGAGGTATTATTAAAAAATAAAATACATTTGAACATTTGATAAATATTCATAAATTAAAATCTTTTATTGGTTTTCAATCACATATCATTACATATTATTAAGACAGCGTTTGCCGGGTCAGTTAGCTTAGTAAACAAGTAAACTACTCAAACATAAAAAAAGTAAACATTTTAATTTGTTTCCCTATTAACGACCACGCTCAACTGGGTATCACCGGATGGGCTGCGCGGACCCTCCTCAAGCGGGAGATTCCCTTTTCCACCAAAATAATATTAGCCATTTCCGCCATGGCCTTTTCCCGCCAAAAACGAAATAGGTACGATTCCCGTATTTGCCAAAAAGTTTGGAAACCAATGGTTTTAATTTATGAACAACACGTTACACGTATAGGTATACCTACTACAACAGTACATACAAATAAATGATTTGTTAAAACACATTTTTGGTTTAATATTTTTGGATCCCCTTTGGAAGTATCGGATTGTTTTTCATTTGATTGTCAGACATCCCTGACGATGGCAAATATTTTAGGTATGCCGATTATATCTTAGAAAATCATGTTGATGAAAATTCGAACTTTCCGCCAAGTATGTGGGCTTCACTTGCAACGACACAACACAGAACAACCAACAATTGTGAATCTTTCCATTCTCATTTCAATTGACAATTTTATAAGGTACGTCCATAATTTATATATTTTTACCAATACTTAAAGACACAATACAGACGGATCAAAATTAACAGTGCTAGTAATAATACTACAAAAATTCCAAAAACACAAAAAAATACTAAAACGTTTAAAAATTACAGGACTCAATTAAATACATGAAAAAAATTCCTATGAAATTAGTAAGCACATTTTTGTCAAAACTGTTTCTTTGAATAATATGATTTTTAAAAACCGGACTTATACTTAAGAATGTGATTTTTTGGGACCAGATTTTTTTAAAACTTGACATGTACTTATATTATAATTTATTTTTTGTAGCATTTTTAGATATTTAAAAATAACGATATGTTTTTATGAAAAACTCTTTTGAGACTTTATTTTACTTATTATAAGTGCAATACTATTATAGTATAATACTTGTATTATAATTTGAAACACCTAGTCAAATATACCTAGTGGAGATATTATATAGTATGTTTTATTATTATCTCTTGAATTATAATTTATAATGATAAGAATAGGCAAAATATTTTGTACATGGTTCCCAAACGTATTTCACAAAAATACATTTTGGGTAGAAATGCTATGTGTATACATCAGGGAACCGTCTTTTGGCGGTAACGGGGCCCATGCCTCCTCAAGATACCACTCGCCTGATGCAGGTAATGGAGGGGAACGGGTGCTTCCAGTTCTACCTACATCGGATGGGTGAGGTCTTAAGCTTCAAGTGCATGCATGTGGAACTGTCTTGGCCCATATGGGACCCAGCGAAGTTGGAAATCCTTACTAACCGAGGACGTGCTCTCACTCAAAAATATTTTGCTTTCGAAGATTACATTAAAACTGTACGTTGTAATCCTAAGAATCGACAAATTAAATATTTATTTGAAGTATAAAAATTAAATTTAACCACCAAAAGTATATGAAAACAAACTCAATTATTTTAAACACCGACTCTTTGGGGTCATGGTGGAATCCGTGATATTGTGTGTGCACTGCAGAACAAATCAGATACCTACAACTGAACTCTAGTCTGAAAATATTGTGATTTATTATGAAAATAAACCGTAAGTGACGAAGTACATTTCTTATTCGGGTCTTCTTTGCTAACCGGAATGTTAGAAACTTTAAATGCCGCAACCACTTTGACAATCGCCATGGATTGTACATTAAGTCAATATGATAAGACATAACAAATAAATTTTATTACAACTTTTCAAATCAAAGAGGTTGGCGCTTACTATTTGTTCATTGAATTATAACAATATATAAAGTATTATTTAAGTTTTTTAAAATTATTAAACAAAATTGTTATAAATAAACGTGATTTATACTTTTTAGAGTTAATTCAAAGTCTTCTATTTATTTCACGCTTCTAATCGGTTACAACGAATGCTCGTTCTAACCGCATAGAACGAGATATCGGTTGTAACGAGAAAAAGCATGAAATACAAAAATAAATAGAAGACTTTGAATTAACTCTAAAAAGTAGAAATCATGTTTATTTTTAACATTTTTGTTTAATAATTTTCCCTTGAAACTCATTAGTCATTATAACCAATTTCTACTGTATATTATAAAGTGCATATTGCATGCACATAATAAATCACATTTACCGTAGGTACTGCTATACCAACTAGCTTGTACCATTTTAAGTCAAATATTTTTTCTGAACACTGTCGAGCACAAGATGTATATTTAATAGGTATTTAAATTTAGATACAATAACAACTTGTATTAAATTTAAAAGATCTCAAATCTATAAACGTTTAAAGATATTATATAAATATCATTGATACATAGTTCATTATAAAATCAATGATAATAATATGTGAGTATATCTTTAATCATGAGTGTAATGAAATAATAAGTGCAATTAATAATAAATAATAGTAATAAAAACATTTTAAGTGCAAGCAAAATTCAAAAACATCATTTTGAAAACAATACTCATTGATCAGCTCAGAATTTGGAAGACACATCATAATTAAATTTTTCAAAACGCTTTTTTTATTAATATTAAAATTTGCACAAAAATATTAAACTTTACAATCTAAACAATTTATTTTACAGTAATAATATATATCTATCATCATATTTATAATTTTTACTTATATATTTTTATTCAAAAAATATCTGTATTTATACATAATAATCATAATAATAAATTTTTTTAAATAACATTCGTCATTAAATAACTAAATATACAAACATAAAAAAGAAATAAATGTATATTATAAATTTCTTTAGACTTATTCACTTATCAATAATTTGAATTAATAGTATTCAAAATGTAAAAACAGCGTTCTAATAATTAAAATATATTACATTTTTTAAAGCATCTGATCATTTAAATATTAATATGTAACAAATTTTTTATAATTTTTAATTTTTTTTTATAAAATTATAAATAATTATTATAAAAGTAATTAACTTAATTGTACCGTTTCATTTCAATTGAAAGCAATGAAATTTCAACAAAAAGACAATGGAAGGAAAAAAATAAACCTATTTACACAAAAACACTATGTTGGTGTTTTTATTTTTATTTACATTTTAGAAGAAAAAATATATATTAATTTTAGTTGAGTTTGATTTAAAAAATAATCTATACATTAATTTTTTTTTAATCAATTAACATTATAAATATTTATTGGTGTGTAATGTGTATTGCATTTGTTGTGAGATACAACAGTAAATCATACAGGGGGTGGCGGTGGAGGTGGCGGGGGTGGCGGCTGTCTAAAAAACATAGTTGAAAAATAAGCTTGTGATGGAGGACTAAAAAGCTTTGGAGGGCCATTGTCATGGACAGCGGCTGATGGTAACAATAAATCCTCTTTCCCGCACGAATAGAGTTGCTCATCTGAGCGATGATAATATGAATCTGAAACAAGCAATTTTTATAAATTTAACATTTATCTACGTATTTATGTTTATTTCTATATAATATAAAATTATTATTATTACTAAGATGGTGAAAAAAAATGTGATACAACAGAGGTTGAATGAATAATTATAGCAAATTACGTTGAAAGAAAATAGATGGCCAAAAAATGGTCAACATTTAAGTAAAAATTATTAACTGGAAATCGGTACATTTATTATGTTTTTTTTTTCAAAAGAGTATTCTTAAAAAATTGAACCTTGTTTTTAGTCTTAGAATTATTTTCTATTTTACAGCAAAATGTATTATATTATAAGTGTTAAATTTGAAACCGAACAAGAGTTATGAGAGGTGCGAAAATTCAATATTAACAATTAGCACTCACTCAGCCTAGAACTTCTGTAATTGATTTTATAATTTTAAATTGTGTGTATTAATTTATAAAAATCATTTTATTCTTATAAACTAAATTTTTTTCTTTGAAACGTTATAATTTAATAGTTCATATCAAAATTCTTACATCGTGAAGACTCAATAGCTGTAGGTGTGTATTCAGGTGGAGGTGACAACCTTGGATGTCTTTTAGGTAAGTCTTCAGTGATGTTGACTCCAAATTGTCTCCTCAACCTATCATTTAGATTTTCCCATTGTTTTGGTTCTTCTTTGGATATAGTTGTTTCAAAAAGAGATGGAGTGGATTGCAATGCCAACTTTGATTCCAATTCAAGGGATTTGGCTATGACTTGTTGAGTAATCTCTTCATAAGCGGCAAGAGTCGTATTAGGAGATACAGATGGCGATGGCCGAGTATCACTGATTCCAGATTCAACATCCTTTTCTTTGGCGACGGTTGCTTGTGATTCTTTCCGTCTTCTGTACTCAGATAACGAAAGCTGAAAAATACATAATTTTTAATGCATAATTAATAAGGTTATTAGACAAGATTGTAATTATAAGACAATCTTACCTTTCGCTTGACTGGCGGTGGTGGTGGTGGAGGAGGTGGGGGAGGGGAAGAAGGTGGTTGTTCTACGACAGGTATAACACATTCTTCAATAGATTCTTTTGCAGTCTCATTAGGTTTATTAACTGGTGGACAGACATCAGAAGTATCTGGTTGATCAGTGACTTCATTTGAAACTTTATTTTCATTTTTTATGGATATTGAGTTATTTATCTTATTGATTAAAGTTTCTTGGGTTGGCTGAGGATCATCAACTGGTTCGTTCTTGATGTCAACCATTATTTTTACATTAGACTTGTCTTGTGTAACAGGTTCTGTTGCACTTTCATCATCAGGTTTAAATTCTCCCAAAAATGATTCAACTAATGCTACTGTGTTAGACGACTTTTGCAAATCAATTAATGGTATACTCTTATTCTGAATACAAAAAAACAAAATGAAATAAGTAAATGTTTAATTTTCAAACAGAAAAATATTTTATTATTTACTTCGAATATGGCTAATTTGGAGTCAATAGAAGCAATATTACGAGATGCTTGCTCTACTTCTTCATCTTCAATAACATCATCATCAGCGAAATTCATATGTCCTGAACCAGGAACCGTTGGTGAAGGACAATCAGACATAGATTCTCGTGCCATTCGTCGTTTTTTCAATGGGCCTACTTGTTGATCTCCATTACTAATTCCTCCGCCTGAATCTAAAAATAATATCAATGGTTCAAATTCATAATAAATAAAATATACTTAGATAATATTATTTCTGAATTACAACTTTAAAATAATTTATACCTTGTTCACTAATAGCTTGTTGTAGCCATCTTTTTTTTGCACAACCCGATTCGCCTAGTTTGAAGTCTTCACTTCCAGTTGGAGAGTTTCCTTCAGATTTCACCCACGAGTTAACAAAATCCTAAACAAAATATAAACAATAAATACATTATAGTTTTAAATAATAAGAAAAATAACTATAAATTAATAATGGGATGTTACTTTTTTAGTATTGGGAAATTTGAAGCCAGGAGCAAGTGGTCCTACTGCAGCAGCTACTAACATACATGTGTTAGATAACGGGGTTGGAGGAGTTCCTTCACTACCACTAGCTTCTTCACTATCCATCTTAATGGGAGTATTAAGTAGACTACTGTGTGGTGATCGCCGTAACATAGACCGAGGAATAGATGAAAGAGATGGCCTATGTTGGAAGCGCACCGAAAATTTACAACGGTTCTGAACACGTTTTTTGGACAGCAAACGACCTTTTCTGTCCTCATCATCATCATCATCATCATTGTTATTGTCATCTTCATCTGATGAACTATTGTAAGAACGAGATGAAATTGCAGCTGCTCTACGTTGGGGTCTGTTTGTTCTTGTTGACTGTTTGGAGCGACTGTTCTTATTAGATGACCGTTGTTTCCTCCTTAAAAAAAAAATAAACACATGCAAATTGTTTAATAAAACACTAACATTGCTACATAATTATTTACATTTTTACCAATCTGTACTGATTACTAGGTCACTATAGTATTTCATATTTGTAGTATTTTTCTGTAGCAAATAACTAACAAAGCATATACATAAACCCATAGCCTGTGGGTCACCGATATGTCTGGGTATATATAAATACGCCCATAGTCATAGGCACAAATAAGAACATTTTTCTGGGGAGGCTAAAATTGTACCAGCAGCAAAGACCCAGATAATTGATATTTTAAACTAAAAACGTGATTAAAAACTGAGGGGACTAAGCCCCAGTAATTATTCCTATGCTCATAATACTGAAAGCATTTAACTTGAAATTTAATACAATAATAATTAGCCAATAAGACATTAAATTACCCAAGTGTAAATGATGATCAATACATAATGATATAGTAAGACATATTTTACTAAATATTTGCCTAACATTATAGTAGAAAAAACTTATTCACTCAAAAAGTAAAATGTACTTACTTCACAACACTTTTTCGAACTCTGTTTCTATTCAGATTATGGGGTGAAGAATTATTGAAGGAATCTGTATCTTTATGCGACCTCGATTCTTGTTTCCGAGCTTCTTTTTTTTCCATTCTTTCAAAAGCTTTCATAATAGCTACCATCTTTCTCTCTTCCCTTGACTAAAAAATTAAATATTGGTTAGTAAATATCTAATTGTTACAATATTAAAAATGTATTACCATCTCATTTAATCTTTTAACCAGTTTATTATCATTGTTATTTGATTTATGGTCAGGCTCAGGACTCGTTTCCACTTTTTTGACAGGACTTTTGGGCCTACCTGGTCCATTAGGTTCTTTACTTTTAACAGGTGTGAGAGGTGATGGTAGTAGTGGGGGTAAAGGCGGTGGTGGAGGTGGAGGTGGTGTTTCAACCTTAGGTAAAGGTCTTTTAATCATTTTTTTATTTGGTTTCTTCATATTTCTTTGTTGTCTGGTTCTTTTGTTTCGCTGAGGTTTGTTTTCATCGTCTGAAGAATTGCTAACAGTTGGGTCTATCAATGGTGAGGAAGAAGAACTTTTAGGTACAACAGGAATAGGAGGTGTTGTTACAGGAGGTATTGGGCTTATAGAAGCTGTACATGTTGACGGATCTCCACAATTACATCGTTTAACTGGAACTGCAGCCTGATGATTAATGGTAATTTCAGTATTTTTATCAATATACCGATTTGCCACTATGTACAAATGAATAGAACCTTTTTCAATATAATGTTTTAGCTAAAAAAAAAAAAAAGTTAAAAAATGTTTTGATAATTAATTATACAATTATTTTACCTCTGCATTTGGTTTACATGAGCGTCGAACAAAACGTGCGTCATTACCATATGTGCGACAATCAACACAGACCTCTATATCACAGTCCGTAGAAAATCGAACCACATAAAAAAATACATAAGGGTCTGTTCGATTGGGTATTGGATCTTTGTATGCTAATGAGCCAGTCCAAGTAAATTTTCCTCGAACTTCAACTATTGGCTGATTGTTAGTCAATACTGAACTACTAACTAACATCTATTAAAAATAATTCATAATTTAACATAAATCTATTCAATGATAAATACAATATTAAAAAATAAAACTAATATAATATACACACTTTTATCCCACTAGGGAGTAAGGACATTTTTGTCCTACTAATGGGAATTTTTACTGGAGTACGAAGTTCGCCAGTTGTTACACTGCCATTTGGTTTAATTGCTGATAAACGAGCACGCAATTCTTGAGAATAATGATTAGTAACGGCTTCTTCATATTTATCAATCCAGTTTCGTAACTGATCAACAGGTTGTTCAATATTAGATTTAGTGTGCTGTTTGTTCGGTTTGTCAGCTTTAAATATTTTTGGCTCATCATCAGAAGAATAATCAATTGTCTATAAATAATTATAACGTATAAATCATCTAAATACATTTGTTTGTTAAAAGTTTTAATGAATAATTTACCTTCTTTTTTTGAATTATTTTCTTTTCTTGGATTACTTTCTTTTTTTTATCCATTGCTGCCATTCGTTTTTTTTCCAATAGCATTTCTTTACGTTTAATTAACATTTTCTTCCGCTCTTCAGCCAATGCCTTCTTTTCAGGAGTCATTGAACCTTTTTTCCTCGGGCCAGGTGACGGACCACTTTTGCGACGTTGTTTCATTTGAGATGATGGCAAACCATTTGACTTTCGTTTAGGAGTGTTTTTTTGTCTGCTTTTATATTTTTTTCTTTTATTTTGAATATTGTTTCGCTCTATTGGCATATCTGAAAATTATAATAATAAAAAAAATTGAGTATGTAGAAAATAACATAAAAATACGAGAAAACACAACTTAGCTAGAAATCACAAGTACTGTTTATATAGGATAAAAATACTTTTATATTTTACTTAATACATATTATTTAATTGTATAATATTCAAAGGACTCTATGGCAAGGGTTGGAATAGATTCAAATTCAATATTGATAGCTATAATTCACCCAAAACTTTTTCAAGAGCCACAAGTACTATTTTGTGTCACGTCTCTGTTATCACCTCTTAATAAAATGTCTTTATAGATATTATTAAGGTAATTCTACTATAATGAACTGTTTTTGGCATTTTCAATATCTAGATTCACCTAATTGATTAAAAGAATAATATGGGAGTAACTCATCTAATAGATATTCACCATATCAGATATCTATCAGTATTTTGTGTAAGACAATAAATTTATAAAAACTATCAATAAGTTTAACTGTTCAAGTATATTATTCAAATTTTGTAAGTAACTTTTGTTCACTGTATAGCACGAGATTTCCGCTTTTCACCCACTTGAACCTAACAAATGCTTTTTGTCTTATGTCTGAAATGGACACAGTTGTCTGTGAATATTTATTTATACATTATCCAGGGCGTAACATTAAGACTAGGCAAACCTAACCTAACCTAACAAAAATTGATACTATACTCCGGCTGGTGAGTGAATGCTACTGGGCGATAACTAAAACTCTCACCATTATATGTGCAGCCCAAACGCTGACCACCACCACTACAGAAGTGGAGAATTCAAAGTGGTAATAAGAGAAGGAGAAATTTGAGCACACAACTGAAGAGCTTGTTTATTTAAATACGCGAAGGAGTAGTGTTCTCGCCAACCAGAGTATAAGGTAAATGTATGACAAAAATTATAAAAACAAGAAATAATTTAAGAAATATTCTCTTCAGGAAATTTTGAAAAAGTTATTACATTTTAAAAACCAATTAATTCCAAAAAAATACTTGACGTTCATTAAGTTTTCACCATCAAAATTTGGCTTAAAATTAGATTTAGAAATTGGTTATTTTGAATTTTTCCAAAAAAAAGTTTAGAATGAAAAAAAAAAATGCTTAACTATTAAATTACAACAGTTAAATATATTTAATTCGGCAAGTTTTTCTGTTACACTCAGTATATTAGCTTAAATAACGGTCTAATGCAATAAGACATAAATATGATTTAATAAATAAAAAATATTGAAAACTAAATTACCTAGTTCTGAAGAAAGATCAGAGTCACTTGAGTGTCGTAAATGTGAGGCTGAAGCCATTGCTATCCTTTTAGCCAATTTCATATGTTGTAGAGCTGCAGCTGCTTCTTTATTAAAAGGTCTGGGGGAACAACGTTCACACAAATATTCTTCAGGCAGATTATTTCTACTCTCCAATACACAGTCAACATGTTGCCAAACTCTATATAATCATATTTAATTTATTTTTAATCAATTAAAATAACACACACACATCATCAAAAATACTCACAAGCATTTGTCACAGCTTATCATAAAACCATCATCATGTTCCATTTCACTAAAATAGAAGTTTTAAATATTAATAAAATAAAAAAAAAAACAAAATAATAAACAGCAAAATTTAGGTAAGACAATGTCTCCTCCCTAGTGTGTTGTTGCCATTTTACAGGTGGGTAATATAGCTTTTATCTTCAGTAATTCCAATTAACCAATCTTTGCTTTTTATCTCCAAAATGAACTATAATTGGAATATTATTATGTATAAAATTTAATTCTATACACGTTTGATGCAAAATTTTAATCTAAAATAATAATTAGTATAATTTTCCATAAAACATTAACACATAATATGTAAAATGTAAATGCAATAATGATTAAAATAGTGCAGCATATTATTTTGGATGAGAAGTTAACCAGCAGAGACATTTCTATGAGAAATTCATTCATAGTAAATAATGTTTAACAGTAACTGTTTGTTGTGCAATTTAATCAATAATAAAACCATAAGTTATTTTAATGTTCATTTTACAATGTTATTGAATGTTACAAAATTAATATATAAAAAGCAAAATACTGAAGTTCTTGGTATAAATCAAATGTGAAAAAAAAATATTATATTTTCTACTATACAAGAGATAACTAACTTAATCTTAGTATTCATAAAAGAAAGTTTATGAAAATCTAGAATTATCCTCAGACTAAGTAGTAATCTTAGTCACTCAAAGAATAGTTTGGAGGTTAAAAAACTTACCAGATACATCTTGTTACTGCAGGTTCTTCTGACTTAATATTATCTTTGCCTTCGGCAACAGCCTCCGGTGCAGTATCAGTTTCTTCACCTTGGCCATCGAGATCATGATCACTAGCGCTTAATTCACTTTCCACTTGAACTTGTGGTTCATGCTTTACCAATGATTGCAAAGATTGCAATGATTGTAAGGATTCAGACGTTGGTATTGGCACATTATTTGGAATACTTACTGACTTTTGGATAACTAAATTACGACAAGCAAATAAAAATATATCATTTATTAAATAAGAATCAATTAAATAACTTTTATTATTAGTATTGATAGAGCTCTTTTAAATATTTTAATTTACCTTTATTATTATTATTTACAACATTATATTGGGTTTGTGGCTGTTTCTGTGAAACTGTAGGTGATACTATACATGACTGACCAGAAGTAACATTTATCGTTGATGTCAAACCATTGATTTGACTTGTCCGTTGAGGTGACACTCTTGGAAAAATGCAATAGTTGTGTTCCACTTTAATTAACTGAAAATAATGTTCATTTATTGATTATTTTCAATTTAGTATTATATCTTAATTAAAAGATGAATAAATGACAAATTACCAACCTCTGCAGGTTTTTTTGCATCATATACTGGCCTATGTTCAGTTACTTCCAATAATTCATCATCACTAGGGCAATGATCTCGTCTTAACATAGGACTAAGAAAAAAAAAATAATATTTAACTAAATCCGATAGTTATTTAAAAAAATATAAATATAACAGTTATTTAAACATACTTAGGCCGGTTTACTGGCACAACACGGGATCGTTGGTTATTTGATTGACGATTACGAGGTGGCATATATGTCATTAACATATGAGGTGTTAAGCCTACTCGGCTGTAAGGTAGTTGCGGTGAGGCGACTTGAGTTGAAACAAAAACGTTTTTTCGAACCGATTCCATTTGAATGGAACTGGCATTTCTCTGTTAATAATAAATAAATAAACTGAAATAATACAATTGTGTAAAAGAGATAAAAAGTTTTAATTATTACCTGATAAACTGGTATTTGTTTGAAGTGTTGATTTGGTGATAGTATATGATTGGCGCTGGCATGATTGAGTTGCAAAGGGAAACGGTGCATAGTCACTGGTTGATTGGTAGTACGCACCACAGTGGCACGTGCATGGTGATCTTGTGTTTGACTGCGGGATGGTGTCATCTGAACGATGAGACTGGGTCCTGATACATCCTGATTGGACACAGGACGTCCGACAGGAATGGTCAACTGGCCAGAGACAGCTGGACCACATGGCACGCGACTCGAACCTACAAGAAAGTAAGCGGCGCTTCCCGGTGTCCTGACGTTACCATCCGATTCCATTACCAACTCACTTTAGCTCTATCCTAAAAATTAAAATCTTCATTAAATATACTTCTTAAAAAATGTAGAGTTACAAATAACTATTAATGTTGAGTTAATACCGGTCATTTGGAAGTTATCAAATTAACTTACAGTAGACAATAGTTATTATATGTTACCTATTATCTTTATTATTGTATACCTATATTAAATTAATAAACTTATAGTGATAAACAAATACATTAATAATTTTTTATGAATTACATATTATTCATACAATTACAATTTAAAAAAATAATATAATTTCAGAAAAGAAACTTTTACTAAAATACACTGTTAACTTATTTTCTGGTTCAAAAGCAGCACTAATTATGTACGTATATAATTCATTGATATCGTGTGTATAAAAAATTAACTAACTCAGGTATTTGATAAGCAACAATTAGGTTTTTTCTAACTCTGTTAGCTAGTCAATACAAAAGAAAATACATTATATATTAACATTTAAAAATACGACATATTCATGAAATTATGTCAAGTATTCAATAAAATCCATATTTTTTTTTAAATATTTAAATTTATGAAAAAAAATTATCATTGAAAACAGTATTAAATGAAAGGTGGTATTAACTGTTGTTTAACATTAGGTATTAATCGTATGCTGTTTAATAAAAAGTCAAAACGAGTGTAATTTGAAATTCTCGAATGTCTTAAATCTCATAAAAATAATTAATATGTAGCGTACACTAAAAAGTTATTCAATCAATAGTTTTAGTTGGAAGAGTGAACTAATACTAATTAATAATATTATTATTTATTACATTAAATTGGTTCAAAAGGTAAGTTTTCAAATATTATTTTAAGTAGGCTATATGTAATTTAAGGTTTACCAATAGTTAATTGTTGACTAGTAACCTATTAACAATTGTCAATAAAATATTAACATAATAGATTCGTGAAAAAATATTTTTTGGCGGGAAATTAATAAAAAACCGTTTATAAGACAAAAATAAATGTTGTCTAGTCCATCTACGTATATAAACGTTTATACAGATAAACTTCTTAAAATAGAAAGATATATAATATCATTCGAGAGGATTGGCAAAATAGAAAGATAAATAGTGTGTGAGAGGGAGAGGGGATGATAGAGAAAGCACAAGTCAATGGTCGAATCAAAAAAATAAAAAAGCTAATAAAAATACTCCAATACACCGATCTCGATTATCAGTTGATAACAATGACAAAATAATGCCAATAAAAATATGACTACGATAATAATAGTCGTGTTTGGAATACCATTAAATCGCAGACAGCGAATATCAATATATTCTTATTTTTTGCGGCGCATCAATTATTTCTGTCAAACACAATCCAGTGGGGGGCAGCGCTCATAATAATTTTATTATTTATATTATTATTGACTACAGTTTGATGACGGGCATTGGTAGGGCGGAGAGGTGGTAAGCGAGAGCGAGAACGCGTCCGCGCGGCGTCGAGTTGCTACTGCTATACCGTGGCAACTGGCAAGGCCACGGCGGCGGTTTTACACGGGGGGCCCTTGATAGGGTGCTTGGGGGGAATGGAGGCCGGCCGGCGGCGGCACGCGTGCGCATCCGCCAACAAAGCGGCGGCACGGTGAGAGCGGTATTATAATAATACGAGTATACGACAATAAGAAACCACTATCACTGCGACCAGAGCATTCCGTACCCACTATTGTGCTAAAAAAACTATTATACAATTTCAATTAATATGCATAGAATTTATTATCAACGTTAAACACCTAAATGGGTCATTGTGGTATAAAAATAATAAAAAATTTACAATTTTATAAAAACAAAATCTGTGAATTTTCAATCCCGGGGTCTAGTAAAATACTATGGTATAATTGTATTTAAATGTTAACATCAAACAACCAATAATCCTTTAGATGTTGACAATTTCAATGGAATTTCGTCAGTTTCAAATTACAGACGTGATAATAATCAGCTTTGAAAAACCTTGATCGTTTTTTACGCTGGAAATTCGTAAATCGTGAGTCGTAACGCTCGCGACCGGGTAATTTTGGCATCGCGAACACGCTTACACACGTTGGTGCAATAGCAGTGCTGCAATGTGCCTAACGCTGACGCGCATGCGCGCTCGTCTACACCCCGGGATGCAGACCAGGCAAACGTGTATCACATTCACATTATTATTATCACCGTCGTCGTCGTCGCGGTCGTGTATCGAAAAGGCGCGCGCCCGCACGCACCAAATGCAGTATTTTTACGCGCACCGGTGGGTAGGGCGGCGTGTCCCGCCTAGCGTGGCTACCTCCCACCCACAAAACGCAACGGAATCCGCCGACGGCCTACCATGGATTATCGCCCATCGGGGGCACGACAGTGGGACGCACCGTCGAACTACACAACACGCGCCTGTGGTGTGTGCGCGCGCGCTCCCGAGTTCGGCGGGACTCGCGTGATACGACGGCACGGCACCGCACCCCACCACCACTACCGCTGCAGCAACGGTCATATAAGATATATCAGCTTATTACGGGCTACTATCATAGTATCATGGCCGATTGTTATTGTTATTATTATTATTTTTGTTTGCGTAATAGTAAGTTAGTGGCGTTGAAAACTTCGAAATCCGTGTATTCGATTCGCGAGATATCGTTTCTATGTCTGACCACGTGCAACGATCTTTCGCCGACAAAAGTGGAAATGGACGTTGAGAAAAAAATGTCGACGGCAAACATCGCATTGATGTTTGTAGTCTTTACATTTTTTGGCGAGCTCACACGTCTACTCTTATCCTTCGTAATATAGGATCGCTTGCAACTATTTCCATTCCAATTTTTCTTCGCTAAATTGTGAGTAGGTCGGTCGGTAGGCGAAAAATGGTCGGCAGACATCGTGTGGCCGGTACCGACTATCGATATACCTGACATATTGTGAAAAAAATATTATATTCATACAGAAAAAGTTCCTTGCCGAAATGTGATCGGTTGCTAAAGGATGTTAAACAAAAAACGTATCAAATTACAGTTTATTTTTGGCGGGAAAGCGACAAAATGCCTAATTTACATAATATGTCATTCGATGACGTTTGTATCCCTGCATAGTGTTTATATTATTATTACTGTTACCATTATCGAATACTGTCCAGAAAGCACTATCAATTAATAAAAGTAACCTCAAAAACTCGGAATTCATAGAAATGTATGCAATGATTCTATAACATGTTAGACTAGATTTAACTGATATTAAAAAAGTCCATGCACAAAAACAATAAGTTTAATGTGACCTATGGATAAGGTTTCATGAACCTAATTAATAATTTATAAACTGCCTTGAACGCTGTTAAATTTCTTTGAATACATACACCTCAACATAATTGTATAAATAATATCGAAAATTGTATCAAATTAGTCTAATCTTTATCTAATCAGTTGGATACAGGACAAAAATGTTAAAATAACTTGAAAAATAAAAGTAATCCTTATGTTATCAATAACAATGAAATACCTATTACCTACATGGTAATTTTTTTTATCACTTGTCAATTAAACTGTTATCTAAATAATATTATTTTTATTATACAGTCTGGATATATTATAGTGTACATTTGGTATTAAATATATAATTATGTAAATTAAAAAAAAAATATTATCAGTTATTGTATCAAAAAAACCATATCATAAAAATGTTTAGTACTAACTCTCGCTACCTACTTCAATTTATAGGTGTAAATATTTTTATCTTTAAAAAAGGATAAAGTACCAACATGCATTTGAATATCAACGCTCTGTATGGAAGTTTCATAAATTTTCCAAAGTTACTTCATGAGAACTTATTAAAATTGAGATTAATAGTAACATGGATGATAAAAATAAAATAATTTTTTTTAGGACACTCAAAAATTAATCACTAACTTCAAAACATTTCATGAGCTAATATAATTGAAATATTTCACTTTAGTCATGAAGACACTGTTGTTTTGGGGTACTTATAGAAATGTCAGTATATGACGGTATTTATTTTTAAACAATTAAAATATAAAGTAGCTGGAATATAACTATCAATAACCAAATAGTATGTATGTATACATATAACAAAGCCTACTTGAGGTTAAAAAAAACCATTAGTTGCTATGAGAATAACTTACTGTGTTATACTATTGTCATTTATGAAGTTTATAATGTAAATAAATATTACATTGAAAACTCAAAAGAAATGGGTAAAATGCACGTGAGATAAATAAAAACCTAGAATTGTTAACATAGAATGGCGTAAAAAATGAAAAATTGTACCAAATCAAATACTGATATAAATAAATTAATGTTTTGATAAACAGATGGATTATTTGAGTTATTAAAAAATATCGTCATGAATAATCCAAAACTGAAATGTTAAAAAAAACGAGTTCTAAAATACTTTTCATCACACGAAAATCTTACAGTATCATGTTCGCAACATTTACTAATTGATGGTGTTAGGACCAAAACAATGAGGCACATAGGTTGAATAGTTTGTGGCCACTGGCCTATTAAACCCGGACGGAACTTTAAACACGAGTGGAAAACTTAAGTGGACAGGTAGACAATGTTTGGGAAACGTCGTAAACCGGGAAACAAGTGATAAGCAAAGGTGAATTTAGTGTTAAAATGAAAATACCGCCATTTCAGTGTTCGTCAGATGAAAAATTGCATCTCAAACACCGGTGCCGGGGGACCACCGAGTTCCAAGCAAATACTGACGGACTTGTCTTGACGTTGGACAGTTTTTTCAAACCAACTACATACTGGAAACCCACGAATATTCGAGTAAATGTCAAGTAAATAATTAAATTTGTACATGTACCTGGAACGTAAACATTACGAACGTGTCGGTTTATTGAGCACAGGAAATCTGATTGCAGCGGCCTCGGCCTTTGTCGAACGTAACACTTGATCGCCGGCGATGTACACTCGGATTTTTCGTATAACATTTAATTTTAAAAGCGCACAACGACGAGTTATCGACATGAGAACGTTAAAAAACTATCGTTTAACCTAATCGGCCATCTTGTCCGTGTTCTCGAAGAATAACAAAACATCATCGATTCCGGGGGGAACAGGCGTTGGAGTGGGGATGCGCCAGTTCACCGGCGCGCAGCATGGAATGCACGAATGGCGCAGCATTAAATCGCTTCCTCCATGATTTTGCTGATTAAATTGTCCATGAACGCGTTGTCTATCGTCTTTGACATACAAAATAAACGTGGGAATTTTGAAAACTATTAACTATATCTATTCCAAATTAAATATTATGCCGTTCATATTTACTATAATATATTAATACAACAGATAAACAAACAAAATTAATTCACTGATTCGTTTTTTTTATTGTTTCAATCTCGAAAAATTTAAAACTTAACACACCATATTAACCAAGTTTAGTTGTATTCATATTCCCGATTTTTTTTGGTTTTATCTTGGTGGCTTGGTACATATTATTATCAAAATTATTGTGTTGTTATTTTTAATATGACATTAGATTTATATCACGGTTATAAAGTTTAAACTTAATATTACAATTTTGAATACGACACGCTTATTCCAATTTTCTCATAGTGAAATGTGCAGTGTACCTAGATTGAAAAGTTAATGTAAACATTTAACATTTTAATTGACATTACATTTTTGACTATACAATTATGAATATTTTTTTAAATTTAGTATAAACCTATTCTCTTAGTCACTTTTAATAATTATGGTTATGATCGAGCCTTGAGCTTCATTCAGAATTTGTATTCAATGCGTTACAACCCAACAAGACTATAGTATCTCGACAATAAAACACAATGTCTTACTCTAATAGTATGACCTCTGCTTAATACTACTATATAATTGTTTATGCTTCATTATGTATCTTACGTCATAATAATATATTTGTATGCGAGTTATTCTAACTTTGTACACAATTCGAATGAATTTTATTATTTATACCCTGGACTTTATGTAGAGTAGCAGACTTCTTTTGTATAGTCTCTGTTTACAGTTTTTACCATGAAGGCATAAACTATGAAGACTATAATAAGTATGACATTGTTATCATGATCGTGTTCTTTTTATATTTTTTTAAACTAAACTATACACATAAATTACACACATTTTTACTTTATTATTAAAGTTTACAATGAAGAAAACTTAAAATATCTACCACCTTTAAGCACATGCTTGTGGTGGTGATACTCCATACCTCAGTACCACTGTAGTGGAGAGTTAAAATAACATAATATTATGAACAATTCGTTTATAAAATATGAAAAACAGACAAAAATGTATGTTTAAGTATGGAATATTACGCTGACTCCACAACAATACTCTCATCCCATCCGAATCCACCAGAGCATACCAAAACCTCAAAATACATCTTGATTATATTTCAAAATGGCCTACCAAATGGGAAATCAATTCAGATAAGTCCTTTCACATCCTTTTCACTTTAAGAAGAGCTATCCTACCTGCAATCTATTTTCAAAACAATCAAATCCAAACTACAACTCAAACCAAATACTTGGGTCAAATTTTAGACTAGCGTTTAACCTGGGGCCCACACCTAAGAAATTAAAGAAAGGTTTTTAACACTAGACATAATATGTTACGGCTTATTCTCATTTCTCATGTCCAAGCTCTCGATTGACTACAAACTATTCATATAAAAAATAATGTTAAAACTTATCTTGGCCTATGGCATCCAAATATGGGAATATACCAAGCATCCCCAAATACGGACCATACAAGCCTTCCCATCTATTTCCCTTCGCTAAATAACATATGCTCCATGGTATGTCTCCAACCTCTCGCTACATAAAGATCTTAAAATTGAAAGGTTTGAAATGTGTGTAAATATTAAAATATACTATACCAGAATTATAATTTATAAGTACAATTTTCTAAACTCTGATATTTTTGATATAGTTATAAACTAATTGACAATAAAGCTTTATTTTTTGATATAGAATTTTATCTGAATTGTTTAAAATAAATTTTAAAAAGAAAGATTACTGTGTGACAAAATGAGTATCTACTATCTGTTAATAATTTCATATTGTTGATTGTCATTATTTAGTTTATGTATATTAGTATATAAAGTATATTGTCATAATGGCAACATGATTATTAAGATCCAGTGATAATTTTGAAAAAAGTAACTTCTATTGTAATTGGGTTACTTTTTATTCTCATAAGTAGTGTAACTTGACAAAATAAAAAAAAAGTAACTTAATAATAATTTAGTTACGATTTTGATAAGGAATTAGTAAAGTAATTTAATAACCAAAAAGAAGTATCTTCCCCAACACTGCCCATTTTCTCCTTAAACTATTACACTAGGTAGGTAATGTAAAGCCACTAGGTGTCTAATGTGAGATCTCCTACTATGTCACTCTTAGTTCTTAGTTTATAATTCTTACCATAATTATTGCTTATTGTACACCTGTATAAATTGTAATATTTCAAAATAAGTCATATTTAAAAAAAAAAAACTATTACACATATTTCATATCCAGTAAAGATTCCGTTTTTAATTATATATAATATAATTATTTTCTTATATACCTACTCTTATGACAACAAATCTAATAACTTAAAGCTTTCTCTAGTTGAACCCGTTAGAGTATTTTTGCTTAGGCATATCCAAACAATTTTTTTATTGTTAAAGTTTTAATGATGTAAATCAGTTTTTGGAAAGAACGCTGTTTATGAATGCACGTTCACATGTTCACTTACATATTTTATGAATGACACGCGAATGTCACTAGTTTTTTTCAAATTTAAAGTAAACTTGAATGACATATTTTAATGCATTTGAAAAAGTTTTAAGACGCTCAAATTACTTGCAATTTAATAAATATAATATATTATATAATAATATTTTCTTATTAAAAATTAATTAAAAAAATTATATTAAAGACCTGGTGAATGTATTAATTTTTTTAATGAACTTGAACATGAACGTTCTGAACACTAGATCCATTTTGATTAAGTCCTCCCCAAATCAATAGACTATAATTGAATATTGCGTGAAATGGTGATAAAAAAAATGTATTACACGGTTTGTATTGGTGGAAACGACCATAATTTTTAAAAGCTAAACAATAATTAACGCATAATCATCACAATATTAATTACACGTGAGCTCCATTTTAAGTATCTGAAGTATCTTACTTAGAGATACATATTTTGATATATTGAAGTGTTACAAGAATCCAAATATTATGAATATGAAAAGTTATCAAAACTTTTATCATCTTTACTATCATATTAACTTTTATATTTATTAATTGTTAAATTTATAAAATTTAATCATTATAGTTAATTTATAGTTTTCTGTGATTTAAGCAGTTTATTTAATTTTTAAAATCTTGTATAGCTTTTAAGCAAAACCTTCGTAACACCTGAAAACAATAGATACATGTCATCTGCATATATTACTATTTGACCATCAAAATATGATGATGTAATATGATACATTAGTTTTAACTTTTACCTTCAATATCAATTTGGTTAAAATAATACTTACATTAGTTACAATTTACTCTACAATCTGGTAAAAATGTTTTTATTTAAAGTCATACATTTTATAGACATCTAAAATTTGAAGTAAAAATGTTGTAGTGTAAATAGACTATTATATGAATAATATCATACAAAATTAGTCAAATAATCTAAAATGAGTTACTTAATGAAATATAATTAATTATTTGATATTTCTAATCATATTTTTTTAATTGTGTGACTGATGAAGTGATAACCCACCAGTATATTACATAATGTTCATAAAAATTTAGCATGTAATATATCTTATAAATATATATACAGCACAACATTTTGATAAAAATGTATTAAAAAGTTATTTCAAAATCTACAAGGAATTTTTTTTTCTAAGAGTACAATATGTTTACAAAGTCGTATAATTAAACAATATAAAAATAATACATAATTTTAGTTAAATACATAAATGAGATTTAAAAGTTTAAGGTTGTGTATATAAAAAAAAACCTATAAAGATTACTATAATAAAGAATTAAACTTTAAAAAAAGGAACAATATTACAAGAATAAATTATTTGAACTCATCGTCTTTTCTTCTTGTCTTGTTTTCTTGATCTATGATGAGAATATGGACGTCTAGGTGATGCAAATGTACTACCATCAGAGTCATATTCACTGCCATCGCCATTATCCTAAAATTCAATAAATTGATTTAGTATCTTCATTTCATGTTCAACATTAATAAAAAAATATTCATTATTCCAGTAGTTGATATTACCAACAATAGAGCCATACTTTGAAATATTATAATGACTATTGACTAATGTGATAAAGTTAGATTAAGAATTACAATAGAACAAAACTTTATTGTAAGTGTTGTAATAGGAGTTATTACTTCAATAAATAAATTATATTTTTTTACAATTGATGATTCAGATAGATAATAAAGGTTTATGGTATATCAAATATTTTTTCAGTAATCATTTCAGTAAAGTTCTTTATATTGAAAAAATCTATTGAAAATTATGTTAGTACCTATATGGCACTATTTTAACACAGTATTGTTCTATTGAGTTAAGTTTTTTATTGCACACAAGTACTTTTTTACAATAATTTAGAGTACCATGTACCATATAATAAACCTATTATAAAATGGAACTATGATTCTATTGGCATCTACTCTGCACATCACTGACTACAAAATCTTTATTTCATTAACTTGATAATGAATAAATATAAATTATTTCAGCATTATTAATAATTACTTTTGAGTCATTAGATTGGTCTGTCAGTAAAAATACAGTTGTTATGCATACTAATTGAAATATAGCAACTAAGTATAAACCATAACGGATTACAGCATCAAATACTTCATCTGATTCTTCCATTGGAAACATCTTGAAAACTAATAAAAAGAAAAATTACAAATATTATTGTTGCATATATAATGGTAACTTAACTAGGTAAATGCTATGACATCAATATTTATTATGTTTTAATTAGATATAATTGTAAAAAAATGTACATATATTATTAAAATTTAAACAGGCCAAATACCAGTTTTTGGATTGAATGTCCTCTTGAATACAAAGTTGCCACAAGGTTTGTAAAACAATTTTAACCAAACACTAAACAATCTTAAAAATCTGGCGTTGTAATGGAATATTATTTATTCTGATTTAAATGTATAAGATGACATTAAAGGTGATGTATGATATATGTGTTTTAGTATAAATGCAAACACTTTTCAGACCTAAAACATTAATGTAAATTATAAGTAATTTTCAATGATATCGACTTAATAAAAATACAAATCGTAAATACATGTTAGTATCAACCAAAATGTTGAATAATAAAACAAAATACTTATTTAAAATACTGAAATTCTATTCGTGTGTCATAGCCAATCATCGCCATTGACAATAAATTCTAGTACCTATTCTCAAATTTACAATAATTACGCTCTACACGAAATATTCGTTGTTCGTTTATCAAATATCAACATAACAATAATAATATTAAATAACAAGAAATAACAAAAAATATTGGAATTACTTGTTATTGATTTTCATGAACGTGTTATCACGTCTTGTGTTATTCTTGTAATCATGGTGATAATACACGTTGATACACGTTGTTGATAATAAAAAACACATTTAAAACTGTTGCTATCATGTATAAGCCATAGAAAAAGGGTTAAAGCTCATTTCAATTTTCAGCCTATCATTAATTGTTTCTGATTTTTAACATTTTCATACTTTTTCTTTAGTCTTATCTGTTTTAAATGTTTTAATAAACTCAAAATTTCAAATAAAAAAAATATTTTTGTATTTATAAAAATTAACTAGACACCATATAATTTATAACTTTATTTTTTGTTCTTCTATATTATATGGTTTTGTACTTCAAAGTATTATTATTTTCATAGATTTGGTTTCATGTATGTACATAATTATTTTACATCTACAGAAATGTATTAATGTACTTGTTAATTTACAATATTATTTAGTTTAGGCTGATCAGTGATCACTAATTTATATACGTAAATACGTTTATTATAGTTAAGTTAAGTTGTTATTAATATTGATAGTATTTTCACTGTTTCATTGCTTATACTTAAAATGTTTCATACAAATTAAAGCATGTAATCATAATATGTTTATTTATTTTAAAATTTTAGTTATGTATAAAATATGTTTTAATTTTTTAATAAAATCATTAACAGTTATGTACATAATATAATTGTCATTAGTTTTGATGATTTTATTTATAAAATTTAAGCTCTTATAGAATCTTGAAAATGTATTTGATTTGATTCTAAAAGCTTTGACGTTTGAATTCAAGGCAATGTCGTTCATATTATATTTTTCTAACTATACAGAATTTGTTTGTTTAAATTCCACATTATCATAAATTACATTTATTGACCTTCCTATACATAATTATTTAAGGAAACTTACAACCAACAATTTAAGAAGAAAAATTTTTATGAGATTGTTTTGTTTATTTTATTACATTTTTAATTACATTTACATATATGTCTATATCTAAAAACTATAATCAACACATCTTATAACTATTTTTTTTTGTTATATATTTTATAAACGTTTGTCTGATAGGTATCCTAATTATTTTTAATTTCTTACAAATATGAAATAACCCTACAAATTTTAATTAAGTAATTAATAATAATCTAAATTATTTTATAAAATAGGTATTGTACTCAAAATATGAGTTTCAATGTTAAATAAATATCTAATAAGTTTTGAATTTAACTAGGCTGCAAACATAAAATTTATTATTGGTTATTTAAAAATAATTTTAGACTTATAAGTCACATGTATAAACTTAAAATTTACCATGGCCATAATTAATTAATACTTTCGTGAATATATTTTGTGCTAATGAGTTATTTAAATTTATTCTTCACCTGTGTCTATTTTTTAATACCAGAAATCTATAGGGAACAATAGTTAAACAATACACTCATATATATATATATATATTCTTATATTTACAATACATTACTGAATAGTGAATACTGATTGAGTGTGTTTTTTTTTGACTATGCAAATTATTACTGAAGTACAGACAGTGAATTATTTTGTTAGTTAATACTTTTATTCCTATCAAGCTAAGTGTTACTATTGGGTGACTTCTTAACCACGCATATTACCTGTTATTTTATATTCTCTTTTCATATATACTTATTGTGCTATTCTGTATAGATTGTATATTACCTCAAAAAAATAAAAAAAAATAAAAAAAATATACTTTTTTAGGTAATACAATTATGACTGTTAAGTTAAATAATAATAATGCCATACCATGATATAAGCTTTGGAACAATATTTTATTGATCTACCAAATTGCTCTAAGTATGTACCTATTGATAATTCATTGTTATTGTTATGCTATATAGAATGGTTTTTAATAATGAATTCTAACAATTAATGTATATTGAATGTGAGGATTGTATTTATATAAAATAATTTAAATGTTATCAAGGAAAAACCCGTTAAAATTTAAATTTAAATACTCTTTAAAATATTTATTTACTATTTATTAAATGACAAAGATCATTTAGGTGTTTAATATATTATTTCATTACATGATTTGTTTGAATACTCCTGAAATTAACATAGGTCAATGGAAACTGGAATAATATACCTAGTTAAATTTAAATTGATCAATATCTACTAGGGGAAGCTTTTTGTAATTATGGCATTTGATATTTCAAATAGTTAAGAGTATTAATACACGAAGGTATAATAATTTTAAGAAATTGTTTATTATTTTGAACCAATATTTAATAATAAATAACTTTTTTTCAAGCATAATACAATTTTTTAAAAATCCTAATATTTATGTTTAAAAAATGACTATTATAATTATGTAAATTTAAATTGGCATACTAAATTATTTATTGTAACAGTTAAAAAAATATTGTTACATAAATATAGGTATTAGATAAGATTATGAAAAAAAAATTTTAATCTTTGACATGACATTCTATAAATAATGAATAATGATATAACTTTAAAGTTAATTTAATATTATAAGTTGGTAATTCATTTGATTATGATTAAATATCCATAAACTATTTGGCATTTGTTATTTAATTGGAATAACGATTAACCAGATAAAAGTTGTTAGGTTACTCAGTGATTTAGGTTTTTTCCAATTTTATTGGTAATTAAGTTTAGTTTCTAGTTTTTAACCTTTTACCATAAATTGTTTATACTAGTTATGAATAATATAATTCAAGTATTAGTATAATAACTTTTATTTCAGAATTACAATGGAACCATCTGTTAGTGGACCAACATTTGAAGAAATTCAAATTCCTGTACCATTTGGTTTTGTAAGTGGTAAGTATTTATCTATGTTTTGTTATTAAGTATTATTAGGAGACACGAGTATTTATATTTACAAAGTAGTATTACTAAACGCTCTTTTTACTTTAGCCACCTCATCAAATTATTTTTGTACAACCCATTTGTTGACACAAAGTAGGTAACATTTAACACAGAATGTCAATTTTCTAATTTAGTAAATAGATAAGGTATGTACATTTTCTTATGGCACTATTTTTTAACATATTGTGACTTAAAATGATCAATGTTTATTTGTTTCTACCTATGGGTTTACAGAATTATATATTTTCGATATATATTGGTATAATATTTATTATTTATCTGTTTAGGTAAATGGTGGGGACCAAAAGATAAACAGCCCATAATTGCAATTCACGGATGGCAAGATAATGCTGGGACGTTTGATCCTTTAATCGAATTACTACCAAAAGATTTGTCTATTTTATGTATCGATCTACCAGGACATGGACGATCTTCTCATATTCCCTTGGTAAAAATGTCATTTTTCATTAAATTTAAATTATGATTTGTATCTAATTTTTTACACAGTACAAAAAAGATTTATAACAGAATAATCTCTTGCATGAATTTCACATAATCACAATCCAGTGATAAGTAATTTTGTTCCTTTATAAGATAATATAATATTCTTTACAAATTTGCTATAGTTTATTTTATATATGAAAAATAATCTTATAAACTTTCTATCTTTTATTTTAAACATGATGTAATATTTTAAATAAATCATGAAACAACTTGATAAATTATTCATGTTAAGACCATAGATTAATATAGTCAATTATGTTTCATAGGGTTTGCCGTATTATATATTTTGGGATGGCCTAGCTATTTTAAGAAGAATAGTCAGACATTATAATTGGAGAAATGTTTCTATTATGGGCCATTCTTTGGGTGCAGCTATTGGATTTTTATATGCAGCATCATACCCCGATGATACAGAAATGTTGATATCTATTGATACAGTAGCACCAGTAATTTTTGACCCTAGTGAAATTGTTAAAAATACAGGACCAAATGTTGATAAGTTAGTTTTATTTTATACATATTTTCTTTACATAAATTACTAAATATGGCAATATATGATTAATAAGTAAATAATATCTAAAATATATTTTAGACTCATATATTACGATGCATTAGGACTTGATAAAATGCCTTCTTACAAATATTCAGATATGATTGATTTAGTCGTGGATGGACACCATGGTACATTGACTCGTAAATCTTGTGAAATACTTATGAGACGTGGCATGTATCGTGTTAATGATAATAAATATTTGTTTTCTAGAGATATACGTCTTAAGGTAAATATATAAATTTATATTTTTTTTATGTATACATTTATTATAAGGGAATAATTAATTTTAACAAATACTCTTTTTATGTCCAGTACAAAAGTGCAATTAACTATTCATCAATTTAATATATACATAATTAATGTGTTTAGAAATAGTACCTATTAGATATACTATACCTAATAATTTTTTATTTGAAATGACAAATAATTTTTTTATTTTTCAAAGGTCTATTTAAGCTTTTATTCAAATATAACTCATTGTTATAATAAAATAAAAATAATAATATGAATCTAATAAGTATCAAAATATGCAAAACATTTATGAAAATCAATTTACAAAATAGCTATGTTACTAGATCCCTCATAAATTCTACTATAAAAATACAAGCTATGCAAACTCTCTCTGGTCAACATTATGTTTACTTAAAATAATTATGATTTTTTATTATTTGATATAATTTATATGCTTGACTTTTTTTTTTAATGGTATGTTCATACTATTATATAAGTTAAATTAAAATGTCTATTTAATTTAACTTATGATTTCTTATTTTATTAGTAGCTCGATTATAATTATTGCTCACAGCTGAAGAAATTGATTTATATTATTTTTTTATATATATTTACTATGGTTTATACATTTAACTTTTAAAAAAAATGTATGTCCAAATTATATTCTATACAATGATATAATTATAAAGGACAAACAAAGTTATCACAGACTCTGGAGAGGTTACAAACGCCTAATAATGCTATTTTAATCCAGAACTACAATTATTGTAATTTAATGGTAAATTTAATCATAAAACTAAAAGGTGCAAATTTAAGGCTTCTCATTGGTTTTTATTTATATT